AGGCCCGGATTTTTACACCGCAGATGCCTTCGGACAGAAATTTCAAAATCGGCAGGTGTACTAAGCGAGCCCCGGAAGAAAGCGTAGGAAACAGACATCACTCTCAAAAAAAGCCTGTTGGACGGGTTCAATAGACTGGTTCAATGGACTGGTTCAATGGACTGGTTCAATTTTTCAACGAACAAGTCTGTTATTGTCTTTTGTGCGCCTCCCTGTGGCGTGTTCTCCTCTCTGGAAGGCTAAAATCCGGCAGGAACCGGTTTCGTTCGATCATTTGTATCTTCAAACATCATCAGCAGCCTGCGTGACCTCTTTCTGTCAGATCCTCGCACATGGACACCTGCCAGACTTGTCCTCGGTGGCCCTTACGCCGCTCAGCAACAGGCACCCGTCGAGACCCCTCCCCCTCGTGCGTCTCTGCTGTGACCTGGTCGAACCGGTCCCGTCGATGCGTCGCAACGCTTGTGGGACGGGGGGGGGGGGGGGCGAGAAGTGAAATCACTCCGACGGGTCGCCAGATATTGCTACCGTTTTTTCTCTGGTCTGGGTGGTAAACCTGCTGAAGTTTTCAAACGCAACTAACCATGTGTATCACAAAAGAGATTAAGAGATAACACAGTAAGAATTAATAACACAAGCGCAAGGTATGTGCATGCCTACCTCGGAGAACCACGGAGTTGTACCACAATGCCTCGCTTTCTACGCTATCTCCCATAGAAAGCGAGACAAAACACGGATTAGTCGGTTTTGTGGGATCAAGCCTCCGTCTTCCCGTTTTTTCCTTCGCGTGGAGCATGATGGATGTTAAAATGCGATGTTATTTGAAGGCCTGCCGTCTGTCGGCGGATGAGCTATGCTGCGTCCTTATTGCTGTGTGCGGGAGCAGCCGGATCCGCAAGCTACGTTGCTGGACAGGAGATCATGACGGCCGTGGTGCCACTCGTGGACTATTTGGGTCCATCCGGCTGGCTTTGCACCGTCATTCTCTCTTCGCCGAATGCCTTGTTTCTAGTAGATTATTTCTGATATCAGAAAGGGGTGTATGATTTGATGTGCTAGGCCTGGTCACATACCACCGATCGTGCGGCTCTGAAACAACGCCGAAAGACCAGGCTCCCACTGTCCGGACCTGACGCGCCTGCCCCGTCTGTGGTGCGGGTGCTTGCCTCTCACTGTCCGGACCTGACGCGCCTGCCCCGTTTGTGGTGAGGGTGCCTGTCTCCCACTGTCCGGACCTAACGCGCATGCCCCGTCTGTGGTGCGGGTGCTTGCTTCTAAATGTCCGGACCTGACGCGCCTGCCCCGTCCGTGGTGCGGGTGCCTGCTAGCCGCTGACCCGTCTGGTCCGATTGCAGCAAGCACAGGCCTCAGCCTGCAGTGCAGACCTCGCCACCATTTACCTAGATTTGCCTCGTCGCCATCTGTAGGGTTGCCGACCCGGAACGAGGTCACGGAGCGCCGCAGACTCCGTTACAGAGCGCCGGCGGCGGCCCGCGCGGCCTTGGGCTCGCTCGCGCAGTGGGGAGGGCGACAGCCCTGTTGCCGGGCGCGCGCGGCCGCGGCGCAGGCGCTGCCGCACGGCCGTTGCGCCGCCGTCTCTGACGTCACGGCACATTCTCGACCGAGCTGCGACGCCGGCGCATTTGCGCTGTTGCGACTGGAGTGCGGGCCGATACGTCGCCGGGCGCGTGTTTATTCAGGAACATCGGGCTGCGGCAGGCGCTGCTGTCGAAGGGAGGCCGTTGTCGAAGGGAAGCAGTTGTCGTTGGTCGAAGCGGCGCGCACGGGGTTGGTGTGGGTGGTGTTCTTATCACTGGAGTTCTTTAGCACCAAATATAAACACTGCAGAGCCGTCGCGTGCCGTACCCGGCTGGACCCAGGCCGCGTTGGCTGCAGTCCCAATGTGTCCTGTTGGTTACGCTCGGTCTAGTCGAATAAGAGAGACGAGGGAGGTGGCGGCGGACACGCAGGCCTCCGTTGAGCCTTAACTCTTGGTCGGAGGGATCCAGACGCGTGGAAGTCTGGTAGATCGGAACTTACCGCGCCAGTTGTGTGCGGTTCTCAAATCGAGAGATGGGTGCCCGTCATGCTGCATGCCGTGCCGCATGTCCGATGTTCACAAATTACACACCCAACGCCTACTGAGCGCTATATGGCGTGCGTATGCTTAGATCTCTCCAGATTTAACCTCATGACACGGATATGTCATCTCGAGATGTGCCAATGACGTTTGCATTACGTAAGCCACAGGCCACACGGCTATAAGTTTACATTCGCCGATCATTGCGTGGCGACTGTGACCTTGTTGATCAGGGCCGCTTCACAGCACATTGCTCCTGGTCTCAATATCCGAACTGTTGGGTCGCTTTGATGACTCCAGGTGCGCGAAATGGTGAACCCAGAAATAGGACTGGGAATTCACGGCTACAGCCCGGCTGTCGGGTCAGCCCGCACGCGATGGGCGCCAAGGCTGATGTTCAGCGGCTTCGCTGAAGGATCAGGCGACGTCCGTCGCCGCACCGCCCGACACTGGCTGGACGCGGCAGCGCCGGCGGATTGAGAGCATGAAATCAGCGATGGCAACACACAGCTGCGTATGTTACTTTAACGTGCGCCCGGGTGGCCGGCTGGATACCCTTCGCTCAGGTGGGGTGGGTCAATTTGATCTCCGCCCCCCCCCCCCCAAGAGATCTCGAGAACTACGAGAGCTACAGACACCAAATTCACAGGGTATGTTGACCTGTACATGGACTCACTTAGGTCAAAGTTTGAGGTTCCTAGATCATGACCTTCAAGTCAAATAAGGTCAGACAAGGTCAAATTCCAGGTTGGTCTCCAAGGTGCCTCCGAAACCTAGATAATTGTTTCTAAGTAAAATGTCACATGCTCATCTTAGATCAGTGACATTGTTTGACCTTTGAAGGTCATGGTGACCAAAATACTACAAGACTGCTCTGAGTTTTGCATTTGGATAAGCGACGAAGATTACGCTTGGCAGTATGCTCCCAAAAACCAAATGCTGACCTGGGTCATTTTAGGTCAATGACCTATTCTGACCTCTAAGAAGTCCATGGAAGATGTAGAAAGCGGTACCTGCCATCAATAAATTCGAAATAAGCTCCAGAAACTATCCCATACAGCAAGCCCTAGAGTAATAAAACAGGTCGGTTTTGACCTTGGTCTGACCTTCATACCTGAACTCAGGTCAATGCAGCTTGCTCATCAATTGTTGTGTTGTCTAAGAAAGCATTTCAGAGATGTATGGCTTCGTCTAACACTCTGTTGTTGCATCAAATTTAACGATTTCTTTGAAATTGGCTCCGCTGAAACCATGGCCTGACTGACCTGCCGTAGGTCAACGACCTTACGAGGTACGTCTAAATTTTTGATGTCAAACGATATGCTATTCAATTGTCTACAACCATGCAAAAGTTGGCGTGGCTACCCCACACCTTTCGGAAATGATTCTGGAAAAACCTTCGCGGAGGTCAATTTGACCTCCGCCACCCGAGCGTGTGTTAGTGTTCTGCCGTGAAAACGATGGATGGCAAATTGCCGGTGGGATAGGTATGGGATATATGATATTGGGGATAGGGTATACTTTTAGGCGCATATTCATTGCTGGAGGTACTAATAATGCACAGGCACGCCAGATATCGTTGGTGAGCTGGTTCTGTTTCTCCCATGAGATTATTGGTGGGTTCCACAACACTGGTGCTACAACCAAACCTCCTACCAACAGGAGTGCTACGACATGAATTCTTCTGCTTTGATTTATAATCTAATGAGAAGATAACTTAAAATCTTCTGCTTAGATAATCACTTTGAAACGACACTATTCTTACACGACAAAACTTTGCTGCAAAAACATATGCTCTTCATTACTTGCACTGCAAACAAGTACGCAGTGATTACTTAGATGCGGTCTTACTTTTGCTGCAAAAAGACTTATGCGTGCCAGTGCAATGCGACAAAACTTGCGCTTCGAAAACTTATACGCGTCATTATCTTTGCTGCAAAAACTTAAACAGCTACTGCTGATACACGGTAATGCTTTGGGGTGCCGGTAGTGTAGTCGTTAGTGCATCTGGGTTAACCACGCGTCTGGGAAACCAGAGGTACGGGGTTCGATTCCCCACGGTGCCCGCCCTTCCTGCCAGGGTGAGAGGCAGGCGACGCCACATAGCCTCAGCAGCTGGGTGCGTCGTAAAGCCCCAATGACATGACACACGGCAATGCTTCTGCTGTAAAGGCCTATGCGCAACATGGGTGCTACAGCAAAGAATTGTGGTCAGATCTGCTGTAGCACTAATAGCACTTATGTAGTCTGCAAGTGTTTGCAGTAACCGTTATGCCGCGTGTAATTAGAGCTTGCAGAAGTTTTTGCATCAGTAGTAATGTCGCTTATAACTTAGCACTTATGTCATGACACCAATTTGGTGAATGTCGCTAGTAAGACTTGCTCCCGTCGCCATGAGCAAAATTGAGGCGTGACATCTGAGAGTGTAGATGGTTGCGCAACATCTCGAGCGGTGTTGGCGGTGGTGGGTACATACCGGCGCCGTTGATTTGCAGTGTGCCACTGAAGCGAGAGCCCTCCCTTCCGCCTCGGTTTTCGTAACCCGGGTCCAGCCAGCTCTGCTTCCTGCCTCTCCGCAGTTACCAGTGCTCTGCGTTCGTTCGCGGCCGACCGAAACTGGTTTGAACCGGTCTGTCTGCCCGCGCGGCTGTCGGGCCCGAAATGAATGGCTGGTCTGTGTACTGCGCGTGGAAGTAGTTGCTTTGCTGTGCAATGCTGGCAGCTGTTCGCGCCCCTAAGCATCCCGGTCAGCCACGGTGAGCCCCGATGGTTGTCTCTGCCCCTGTCTGGATGACTCCAGAGCGTGTCTGCCGCCGGGTCGGCGGGTACAGGCCCACGTGAGCGGGGCGGCGCCGTCCGACCGGCGCGGCGCGGTATTGATTGGGTGCGCGGCGCCCGCGCGGCGTCCGGGAACTCGACAGTCCCGTTCCGCGACAGCACGTGGTGCGGTCGCTCCGTCCGGCCCCGCCCGGCCGGCCTGGCTCGTCCCGGCTCTCACTGGCTGGCCCTGAGTGACCTCGGGTCGACCTGGGCTGACCTCCCCGGGACGCTCGCCAGCCTGAGATGGCCCTGTTCTGCGCGACTGTCCTCGCTCGACGGCAGTTGACCTCACCTGGCCTCTACTGACCCCGGCTGACCCATCGCCATGGAGCAAAGGGGTCTGGCGCCGCCGCCGCCGCCCAGGGACCGACCAATCGTGAGCTCCTCAACGCCGGCACCGGCTCTGTGTGCTAGTCTCAAAACCTTATCGCCACTGTCATATTTGCGTGCGATGACGGTTATGGTGTTTTTGAGTTATTCTGTATTGGCACTGGCGCCCGTGATGATCCGCCCCGTCTTGGCTGCCGGTGTGACTCACTGGTCATCGCAAGGAGTCAAAATACGTGGTCCCTGCACCAATACTGGGCACAGATTGGCACGATGATTCTAGTGTCGCCTAGCTACACTGCTCAGAAATACCCTTAGCCTGTGGATATGTGTCGCTTCTAATGAAACGGCTCCAGTTCCTCTTGCATCCAAATCCACTCCATGATTTCAAGATGGGTCATTTATTCTACGAGCTGTTAAATGATTTCGCATGAACCGGTGCCGCCCGTGCCTTTCGACTGGCGGGCGCCGCCGCTGCCAGCCGAGCGTCACCCCCGGCGGGCGAACCGTTGGCCCGCCGTGGCCCGGCTGCCCTCGCACTCTCCGGATCTCTCTCGGGCCGCCGGGCCGGGCTTGGAACGCCTTTCTCCTCGGTCCGGTCTGATCATGTCGGCACCAGGAGCCGTTGTGAGTCGCACGCCTTGTGCCAACGGTCGCTTTGTAGCGATTACCATTTTGATGTGCTTTTCTTAATACGTGCTTAAAATCCAGCTGGTACCCAAAGAATAGCATAACAAACGTGTTACTGAAACGTCCATCCGGTCCTCCAGTCACGTTTTATCAAGTCCCGATCATGTCCCCTGCGACGTTTATCCTTATCGTAAGCACCTCGTTTCATCGGTTTGTTTCTTTCAGACACTGACCGGCTGCATGCCTAAGGGACTGAAAGCAATGCGCTTTAAAAAGTAGTTTGGAGTTAAGTGTGCAGAAAGTTTGAACATAGTCCCCTTTTACAACCGGACCTTCGTTTATGCCAATCATTTTGTGTCTATGGTGTAATAATTCTTCAAAGCTTTGACTGAAGCATACGCGCTAGTAATTGACAGAGGAGAGTATCATGGGGGGCTGCTTTCAGTCCATTCTATCCATTTTTCAGTTATGGCGTGGTTTTGTTCTACAACAGTCGTGACCTTAACTCGTCTGTTTCTGGGAATGAACTTGCAGTTTTTTCAAGGAGGCAACGTTTTCCTCGATGGGCTCATTCGTGCGGTGGATTAAGACCGGCCTGTACCCAGATGGGGCCCGGTTTTTAACGGCGCTTGACAATGTAATAATACCAGGCACAAATGCCCGTATGCAATAGCCTGTTTTCCATTGCGCCACGTGACCGCTACGTCATAGCTCCAAGTTACGAAATTGTGAGCATTGCGAATACACATCTGTAGACAGAATGTGAACACAGAATGATCTCCGCAGTGGACCCTGAAAAAATATATTCAGTATAACCACGAGTTAAACCAGCGAGACATACGACTTGCCCGGTGTGTGTATCAGCTCACCCACGCGAGAGTACCGTGATCGCAAATAGCGAAGCACGTTGGGTAGCAGTGATTCCATTCTGGTCGCATTGGCATGTGAAGGTCTGCGTATACCCCTTTCATTAGCGCGTGCGTTGGCGTCGATAATATTGCTCCGTCCACAGCGCTGGTTCGTCTGCATCCATTTACGCCTTCAGGTGGGACGGCAAACGCGGCCGAAACGATCCCGCGTCCGCCTCAGCGTCGATGGGCGCTCTGTTGCATTACTACAGCATCTGAAGCACTGTGATCGTCGTCCTCGTGGTTGCACTCGCGATGCGTGGGGAGCGAAGCGTCCTTTCCGAACGGTTGGCACATGCACATGATAGTCGCTGTCATTGGCCGCTGTGGCTGGAATAGGGCAGTTAGCCGGGTTAACAGTGTCTCAGCTGCCGGTTCATTGTGCTGCCCGAGGCGCCAGCACGGTCGTGTCACGCAGGTCAACGGCACCAGATGTCGGAAATGACCTCGGCGGCTCCAGGGTCCCCGCGCCCGAGGTCTCAACACGAGCTCGTGTGGGGCTGTGAACGGCCTGGGAATTCTACCGGTTTCAGATTGTGCTGAAGTGCAGGTCGTACCCAAGCGCGGGTCGCGGACGCCCGAAGGTCAGGTGTGACGTCACATAGTCCGGAGTCCGGGCGTGACAGCGAGGCGCGGCGGATCGCCGGGACGATACGGACGGCACACTGCTTGCCGGCGGTTTGACGATGTGTTTATCTGCCGGAGCGGCGTGGGCGGCGCTGGCGTTGTTCCCGATTTAGGCCGGGTTCGCGCCCTGGCTTGCCGCCGCGGGGCTGGCCCGCCTGCCGGCGTCCGGGTCAGCTCACCGGCACGCTCGGCACCGGCTTCAGGGCGGCGCGGCGGGCAGCGCCGCTGGGGGCCGTCGCCGGCAGACAGTCATAGGAATCTGGGCATGACCATGTCGGCAGGATCATGACTGTTGTGGGAGATATGGCGGGCCTGTGACAGCCACCAAAAGGAGGGTGAAGAAGGGGACACATGAAGGATGTGCCACGCTCCGTATTGCCCTGCGCAAACTTTGTTTTTCTCAAACGGCGACTGGTTTCTTACACGTATTCTGTGGGTCTTAGAGGAATGTCATGGTTTATCGTGCACTGAGTCCACCGCCTGTGATAATCACGACCTTTGCTGCGTGATTGTACGAAAATCAGCGGAGAGTCCCATATGTCGCCCGTGACCCTGGTAACATACCAAAGTAGTGAAAAAGCGTGCCGGGACCCACAACACTTAATCAAGCACGCTCCGCCTCCTGAGGGCGTTGCTTTTCGGCGTGGCCGCCTACCAGTGATAGTCAACAAGTTGTCCAGCGCACTCATCCCTTACGGAATGAGGCCACCAAAAAACCAACTTCATAATTTCTAGAACGAGAGGAGAGCAGTTTTACCATGGAGCACGTTGTTAACCCCCGCATGGGTCAGATGGCGGACATATGGGCATTTAAAGCAAGCGTGACTTTGGTCCAATGCGCCGTAAGGCATGGGGCGTCTGAATTCTGCGTCCTAGTGCTAGTGCCACTACATGGCGTACCGGCCTGTCGCAAGTGCCGGGAATATCACAGCTTTGCAAAAAATATTACAGCATGAAAGCAAACGGCTGGTAGCGGGAAAGATGAGAACCTGGAGATACCCTGGCTTTCTACGCTTGTAATTAACAAATGTGATATAAATGAACTGGTATCTCCATTTTTGCTGACAAATAACCGGAATATTTTTGCATTTACCCCACGCACGGAAGCAGCAGGCTGGGCCGTGATCTTGAGGTGTTGAGACGCAGTCATGATGTGCTCTGAGCCCTCGGAGCCTGATGGGGACGAGCCCTTATCCCGTCACCGTATCTGGGACCGGGCTGCCGGAATCGGGTCAGCCGGTTGCCACATGCACCCGGGGCGGACTCGGTGCTGTCTCCGAGCCGTGTCAGCCGGCTGCCACATGCACCCGGGGCGGACTCGGTGCTGTCTCCGAGCCGGGTCAGCCGGCTGCCACCTGCACCCGGGGCGGACTCAGTACTGCCTCCGAGCCGGGTGGGCGGGTGCCATCTGCATCCGGGGCGGACTCAGTGCTGTCTCCGAGCCGGGTGGGCGGGTGCCATCTGCACCCGGGGCAGACGCGGTGCTGTCTCCGAGCCGGGTGGGCGGGTGCCATCTGCACCCGGGGCGGGCTCAGTGCTGTCTCCGAGCCGGGTGGGCGGGTGTCGCCTGTGCCCGGGGCGGACGCGGTGCTCTCTCCGAGCCGGGTGGGCGGGTGCCATGTAGAGGCGGGGTGCGGCGGTTCCGGTTTTAACTGGACATATCGATAACGCTCAGCGGCCCGATGAATCCGTTGCCGCTGCTGTGTGCCGGCCTGTGGCCGCCAGCGCCGCGGCGCCGGCGGCCAGCGAGTCAGTTCGCCCAGATTCCGCTGCCGTTCCGGCGAGCCCAGCTGTGCTCGGGCCGACCTTTCGCGCTGGGGGCATTGGCGCGGTCATCTGTGGCTGCGTGGGCTGGGGTGAACACGGCTCTCTGGTAGTGGCTACACGCTGTCGTCTCTACGCTGTGACACGGCGGCGACACGGACCGCGGCGCGCGGCGCTTCGGTCCGATTAGACAAATAAACCTGACCAGCATTGCGCTGCGTATAACTAGATGTATGTGCGCATGCTCACGTGGCTGGTTAGTTTTTCGCTTTGGCCGGGATAATTGCGGCCCATTTACTGTGAACGGCCCATGCGCAGGCTGCGCGTCTGATGGTTTCATGTCAGCGGGCCGTCCCCGGCGCCCTCTACACTTATCTGTACTTTACGGGCCTGGTGATCGACAGTCGTGGTTACTAATTTTCGGGCACCAGTCCGATAGCGCTCCGGCAATCGGCACACATATTCACGGAGGGCTCATCCGTAACCAAACAGAACACCCGTCGGAAATCTGCTCCAGCCCCCCCCCCCCCTCTCTCCCTCTCTCGCTTGCTCGCGCTCTCGCTCTCGCTCTCGCTCTCTTTCTCGCTCTCTGGAAGGGTGCGCCACAGGCGGCGGGCAAATGAGCCGATAACTGTGACCTAGACTGTCTGGCCCGTGGCCCGGTGCCTCGGTGGTGCGGCGGGCTACATCTGGGCCACGCCTCCCTCCCCCCGCCGGCGGTGGGAGGGGCGTGTACCCCCTCGGGGCGGGGAGCTGTGCCAGACGCTGATCTCAGCGGGACATTTGCGTGCTGTCACGTCAGCCACGCCCCTCTTTATCCATTTATTTGTCTTGCCACATCGTGAGCTATGAGGGCGAACGGTGGCCTGTGGTGTACACATGGCTGAGTGAGGCAGGCGTACCTCAGGGCATCCAAAGGAGGCAAGGTGGCACCAGATAGAAATGAGTGTAGCTGTGCTGTAGGTACTTGTTTATGTCTGCCGTTGAGTCAAGATGCCAACAAAAGAGTAGCGCTGACCTTCTGGAAAACAACCATTTGCCAACTTCGAAACTCTGTGCTACTACGTACCTACCTCTGGAGCCCATATACATGTCAATGTTGGATTCATAAAAGTGTCCGTCTGCCCAACATATGCCAAGATTGGTCGTTGGCAGCTCGCCTCGGCCGCGCCTCCCTAATCATTCTTCCCGGGGCTCACAAACGCCACCGTGGTTGCTGCGTCGGCATCGCGGTCACCTGGCGTGCGGCCTGGCCAGCTTCGTCAACGCAGCCGGCGGCGTATAAATACCCAGCAGCCACGTGATGGCCCAGCCACTGCCCTCCTCCTCCCCCCTCCCCCTCCCCGTCACTGGGTGTGGGCCGTCGGAGAGCGGCTGACGCAGGACTGGGAAGTGGGAGATCAGTCTGAGCGGCAAAAATTGCTATGTGAAGAGCTAGGAGCTCTCAGGTGGCGTGGTAAGTGAAATGTCGTCCACGGTTTTGTATGCGGATCGAAATTGCGAATTCGTACGTGACGTTATGCGCACACGAATGACGGACGAAAGTCTAGCGCTGAGCGTCGTGCGCGCGTAAGTCCATTGAAGCCAAAGACCATCGAGGCGTTGATAGCCGTGAGAGCGGCCAGAAGACAGCTCGGTATGCCGCTGTCAGTGGGCGGCCGTCCGCGCCGGACCTCGAGCCGTTGGCCGGCCCTGCCGGCGACAGCTCACCGCTGGCGGCGATTGGGTGTCGGCCGTAACGTGTGAGCGACGTTTCTCGGCCATGACGCTTCCTCGGTCGTCGTCCGGCGTGTCAGCCCGGCCGCGAGGCGAGCCGTGTCGGAGGGTGACATGTCGCCAGTCCGCCAGCGAGGCGTCGTCCGGCGTGTCAGCCCGGCCGCGAGGCGAGCCGTGTCGGAGGGTGACATGTCGCCAGTCCGCCAGTGAGGCGTCGTCCGGCGTGTCGGGGCGGTCTTCTGCGTTCGTATACAAATTAGCATTCTGAAATTCGGGTTTCCGTCCAAACATTGGCCGAGAATCGTCCACTTGAAAACAGACCACCTGAAAGTAGCCTCGAACGTAGACCTTCTGATAAGGCCTCAGGAACTTAGACCTGCTGAAAATGACCGTTACGTTACGTAACCGCCTGTTTTGTGCGTTGTCTTTCAGGTCAGGGATGGGATCAAGGTGCGTGGTTTCAAGAGCCCGTTGTTCAGGTGTGGTATCTCTTTGTATGCGGGGGCGCAGATGCGGCAGCCTGTGGTCGGACATGCCTCACCTTTGACGGGGTGGGAAACGTGCGTGCGCGGGCAACTTACTGCGTCACCTGTTCGCTCCCCCCAGTCCCTGGGCGCCGACCATTGCTGAGATGTGAAGCCAGGCTCCGAATTAACCGCCAGGCGCTGGCCGCGATCAGTCTTTCGCGCCGTGAACCTGACTATGCGCGGCGCCGTCGCCTGGCGCGGCCATTCCCTTCTCCGGCCCCGGCCCCGGTCCCGGTCCCGGCCCCGGCCCCGGCCCCGGCCCCGGCCCCGGCCCCAGCTCCGGCTTTGCGTGGCTGCCAGCTATGTGTTGACACGGCCCAGTTTCGCCGCCACCAGCCATCATTGTCGGAGGTGGGGAGTAGGCGTGGAACAGCCTCCGATGTCCGGGATGGAGAGTAGGTGTGGAACAGCTCCTACGCACTAGCTGTGCCCCACTGCTTAACTAATGGGATTTGCATGGCACGGTCTCGCGCCGGCCGAAGAGAGAACCGCAGTAAGTTTCGAATGCTTTCACCAGAAATGTGAAAGGATATTTATGCTGGTATGAGCTGGTCCCCGAGACCGCCTCCTGATTCGGCCCATCGCAAACGCGTTGAATAAATATCATCATTTGCGATACGCATTTCGGTCGTGCTAAACTCAACTCAGCCCAGGGGTCCCATGTTCGTGGCAAGAACCGGCTGTGAGTACCAAGCACCACCAAGCGATTTCGCTAGCTCGTGAGGCAAAAACATGACGCTATCGCGCTGTGGCATGTGATCACCAATCCGCAGTGTGCCTCCAGTAACCTGGTTACACACAGCTAAACGCGCCTGAAATAAGTTGCTCTAAAACCTCCTTCACTGATCTTGATGGAAAGACACTGCCGCGGCTCCTCCCGCCATGTTCAGAGACCGCGTAGAAGCGTCGGGTCACGCCTCGAGCGCGTTCAAAATATCACGCCCGCCCAACGGTGCCGCCGTCGCCCACAAGCCCTGTCGAGCCAGCTGTGTCTCGTGTCCCAGACGCTCGCCACATGACCGAGTTTGGCGGCCCGGCGACTGTTCCTTGATTGCGCCACGTTTACATGCGCCGCGCCTTCCCGGAGACAGGTCATCCACGCGGCCGTATTTCAGTGGCGGGCGTCGGCGCGCGTCACATGACGCGTCGGTTGCCATGGCGATCGCGTTGTGGCCTTGGTGAGATTATGGACGCCGAGATGACGTGGTAAACCGCGTGACCGGTCGGAGAGTGTTCGAGAGCAGGCCGCACGGGGATGTCGCCGGTGGAGGGAGTAGAGGACTGAGGCCCCACGGGCCTCGGGTCGCAGGGTCGGTTCCGTTGCTCCTTTCGTGCACATTCGCCTTCCCCCGCCCCGTACACTGAGAACCAGCCGCCGTCGCAGATTTGGGGTGGTTGTCTCACCTGGCGTCAAATCCTTTTTATTTCCAGATCCATTCGCAAGCAATGTTTTTTTCTGACAGGAATATTTTCCGCAGATTACCCGAAAGTGAGTTGATAATGATGTCATAGTTGGATAACGTTAGGCTGGGTGACGTCATGTTTGGTGACATCACTTGTTACATAATGGCATACTCTTTGGTGACGTCATCGCGGTTTGTGCCTTTGTGCACTCCTGCGGCATCTAAATCCCTCGAGAATGTTCTCGCATAAATGCTGTGGTAGATTACGGTATAAAAGTGTTGCGCTTTGTCAGCCGGTACTTGGTTAGTGTTCGCGGGTAGTGGTACGTAAGCTGCCGCGACGTATCAGAATGTCACCTGCCTCTAAGTCTTCGCCGCTTACCGGTGTACCTTCCTGACCTTCCTGACCCTGACCCGGAGTATCGTGAGTGCCACACCCCCGGCCCTCGCCCAGACCTACCCAAAGCCTCCCCCCCCCCCGCCCTGCCGGTCGCCGTGAGTAAGCCTGCCGTCTCGCTGGGCCTCTCTCGCCGCCAACTCCGAGGGGCCTCGCTCGCCATTGATTCCGAGGGGGTCTCGCTCGCCGCCGACTCCGAGGGACGCCCATCACCACCGACTCCGAGGGGCCTCGCTCGCCATTGATTCCGAGGGGGTCTCGCTCGCCGCCGACTCCGAGGGACGCCCATCACCACCGACTCCGGGGGACCTCGCTCGCCATTGATTCCGAGGGGGTCTCGCTCGCCGCCGACTCCGAGGGACGCCCATCACCACCGACTCCGGGGGACCTCGCTCGCCATTGATTCCGAGGGGGTCTCGCTCGCCGCCGACTCCGAGGGACGCCCATCACCACCGACTCCTAGGGACCTCGCTCGCCACTGACCCCGAGGGGCCCTCGCCGCCAGGTGCCCACGGCCGAGATGCTGGGAGACGACGCCGAGGTGGAGCTGAAGCGCAAGGTGCCGGACGCGCTCGTGTTTGCCGACGACGAGTTTGTCGGCTCGCTCCTGAAAAACCTCAACACGATGCGGAAGAACAAGCAGTTCTGTGACGTCACGCTGCGGGTGAGCCTTGCGGCCGGCCGGAGCGCAGGGCGGCGTCCGCATGCGCTGGGATGCTGGCGGTCTGCTACTCATGACACCACGAAATGTGTTGAAGCACGCTACAATCAGAACATACTCTCGTCGTGTATTTTAACACGTAAGCCATGAAATGTTCTGAGAAAGACACCCACTCGCAGTTTTTAGAACCTTTTTGTGTGTGTACACCCAGTCAGCTTGTCCACCGCGCGTCAGCTTCACGCCATCGGTCGACCGAGGCCCGAGGCTGACCCCTACCCGGCCGCAGGTGGGGAAGCACGAGATCGCCGGCCACCGGTGCGTGCTGGCCGCCAGCTCGCAGTACCTGCTGAAGCTGTTCGGCGACGAGCGCGGCCAGCCGGCGGCGCGCGATGACCCCAGCGTGTATCGTCTGAGCGACAGCCTGGACTGCGAGGCCACAGACGCGCTCGTCCAGTACGCCTACACCGGAAAGTGAGTACACATCACGCTCGTCTGGTGTCCAGGTCAGCTGCCGCCGCGACCAGGGTCTGATCTGCGGCTTCAGGTGTTCAAGGGGTGGAGAAGATTTTGTGGGACTGAAAACAGACGTTACCGAAACAAACGCACGAAAACAAATGTTGACCACTACGCTTTGCTCTTCTTTTTCAACTTCCTCTGTATGGTCTGGAACAAAAGGCGTTGAGAAAAAACGGCGTAATTAGTACTTCTGCAGTGCACTCACCGCCTTGTAAACTGGTGCCTGCATAACACGCGTCCATTTGTATGTGCAGGCACAGAATGTCCACGAGTTGACCGAATTAATAATTGATAAAACTATCATTTCCTTCTGCGAAACAGCAACAAACTTCAGAAGAAAGGTCTTATCGGGTCTGGGAATGATGCGGAGCGTTTTTGGAATAAATTTGTATCATTTTGGCAAGTGTTCAGGTGCTTCTATGACTCAGTACATTATTTGACCGTAGACTGTGATCATTAATAATACTATCAACCGGTTTTCGGCGTCCCAGAATTCGTCAAATTCAAATGTTCAGTTGCCTCTTATAATATTTTTATTTGGGTGGTCATCTCTGAGTTGAGGCTTCTCCAGTCCAGTAAACACATGGAAAGACTGTGTATTTGACACCGGGAGAGATGGGACGAGGCCAAAGGTCGCCAACCTATGGAAATATGGCTGCTTATTCATCATTCAGTGAGCGATATTTTTGTGTCCACTGAAAATCCTTCAGCGGCTGTACGACCAGCCGCCTTGTTCGTGTCCGTTTGCATAGCGCAGGGCAAATACGGACGAATGTTTGACGGGCTAGTTCCGACAAATCTGTTTCGACGGAGTCACTGTCTGTTTCGTAGAGTCGCTGTGAAACTCGTAGACGTTTGACAGGCCACTGATCTGGCTTTTGTTTGATCCCAGGCGTTGTGTCGACCCACCGAGCCTCCTAAAATTTATAGCTTTATCACAAGGCGTCCGGTGCCATCTCGGACTCATACACTTATCTCATTATAAAAACGGTTTTGCTTCAGGCCATTACATGGATATTTTTACGCTCTTGGTCATATCATATCATTATGAAACGTTTGAGGTTGTTTTTTATTGTTCCATCGGCGGTTGTTGCGCTGTGGAAACGAGCGGAAGGATGTTTACACCCGGCTGAGAGGCAGTAAAATTTGTGTTAGGTAGGGCTACACAATTCCAGAGTGATTGACCCAACAGCCAGCGTATTTTGTTTTTTTTATTTTTGTTTTTTGTTTTCCGAATACGTATTCACGTCTAGAGGTACTGTGATCCTCAAAGGCCGTAACTTTTCTTGTCGCGCGCGGGTGTGATGTTTGTTAGTGTATTTTTGTTTTGACATATGCAAGCATTGTGGCGCCATTGTCATTGCATTTGTATTCATTGTTAACCATATTTGTTCATAAGAAGTTTGTCTTCGTTCATAATGCATTATAATTTATTATGCGACGGTTGCTGGTTTTTATGGGAGGTTAAACATGCAGTCGATGCGCCCCAAAGTCCCAAATCATCATCACCGTTTCATTACCGTTATGACAACCCTGCACCGCTTGTGACACCTGTGGAGACGGGTGGACATTGACCACATGCAGTCTCTGTTGCCTGCGGTGCTCACAAGTGCGAATGACATGGACATCATTTGTTCCATCGCCAATAAAAGTCGTAGTTGATATTGCCCGGCTGCTGTCCCCTCAGTCCCTGTCAATAGAAGCTATTGCTGGGTGTCGGGGCAGCCTTTCATCATCGCAGTAGCTTTTTGTAAATGTGCCGAGAGGCGTACTATATTGGGGTTAGGCATCAACGTGGCACCGATATGTGCAACAAGTCACCCATATATCTATGATGTTCATATTGGACGCTTGGGGGACAACGGGCAGGCTTGATGATAGTGACCAATGATGGTATCAGCACGACTGTAATCCGGTGGATCAAAGGCACAAAGGCAGGGGAGGGGACGAGGACCATGGTCTCAGTTTGTGGTGGGCGGGTAACATAAATCCTATAGTAATGCACGGACAGGACGGGGAGACTTAAATGCTTGATAACTTCAAAAGAGTGATCGCTTCCCCCCCCCCGCCCCCCCCCCCCACCCCCCCATCCCCCCAACCCGTCCACCCGACCCCTTACAATGACTTCCTGGTACGCCCACGCATCTCTCGCTTGAATGTCGTGTCAGCAATATCTTGCCAACAATCATATGGAACCTCAGCGAACCGGGGACTCCACGAAGCAGGCGCTTCGGCCCCACCCAGCGGCTGCTCCCCGGCAAGCCGGGCCGGCGCTTTCTTCCAGGTAGAGCCTCACAGAACAAGACGTCACTGATATCTTTTCCTCGAATCTAGCACGCGTGGCGTCGGATTCACCTACGTGATGGACACGGTTGGCACTATCTACGATTGGCCGAGAATCGCCGGCAACGCTGCGTGTCGCAGTTCATCGGTGGAGTGGCCTGCTCGCCTGACCAATAGCATCGTCCGCGACGGTTTTCGACACCGTGCGCCGGGATAGCCTGTTTAAACCTCTTGCCACACCGAGACTAGGCGTATAGTTGAGCACGTGGGGAGGAATGGCGATGAGAAGACGAGGGAGCGCGGAGTGGGATTGATAAGATGTGTGGGTGTAGAAGCAGAGGAGTCTCATCTCGGTTGCTCGAAGAATGGAACGGCTGACGCTTCCAAGACTGGAAAAATGGGCCGAATGCGGCCTCCCCACGTGACCGATACCGTCATTGTCTAACAGCCCCGTCGATGGATTGTCTCGGCGACATCGGCCCTAGTCTCATCTCGGGGAAGCCCCCAAGGGATGCCTCCGATCGTCCTTGATCTCATGTAGCTGTGTGGTCCGAACAATAAGGTACCGAACTAATGGTTCGGTGGCGTTCCGGCAACAAGCTTACAATATTACCCGACCCATCGCAAGTACCGTAACCAATAAGGTGCCGTTTCCACAAAACGTTTTATTTCCCGGCGGCACCGTATCCAATGTCATCCAGCAGCTTCGCACGTCTGGTCAGCTCTCAGTCTCTGTGGAAGCTTCGCACGTCTGGCCAGCTCTCAGTCTCTGCGGAAGCTTCGCACGTCTGGCCAGCTCTCAGTCTCTGCGGAAGCTTCGCACGTCTGGCCAGCTCTCAGTCTCTGTGGAAGCTTCGCACGTCTGGCCAGCTCTCAGTCTCTGTGGAAGCTTCGCGCGTCTGGCCAGCTCTCAGTCTCTGTGGAAGCTTCGCACGTCTGGTCAGCTCTCAGTCTCTGTGGAAGCTTCGCACGTCTGGCCAGCTCTCAGTCTCTGCGGAAGCTTCGCACGTCTGGTCAGCTCTCAGTCTCTGTGGAAGCAGGGGAGGGAGCTGCCTGGCATTGCGCGTGCCGGCGGTGGCCGCCGCCGCGTGGGCTGGGCGGACGGCTGCCTGCAGCGCCATTTCCGACGCCCGTGGCTACACCCCGCCGGCTGGCTGGAAACAGCTGACGTTCTGTGGCCACTCCCTGGCCCATGGCCCGCCGCTGCCATGAGCCCCTCGTCGTCCCCGCCGCCGGCACCCGCACGGAATCATCGGCACTGTCACCGCCGCGCTGTGTCGCGCGATCTCGACCGTCACGGTCGTGTCGTTGTCTGTGACGCGTCGCGGCCGGCTGTGTTTCTGTTCGGGTCGCCTGGGATAGCTCGTCACCGTACCCTGAACGATCGAGCCAGCCCGGCTGGGCCCGTGACAGTCGCCTACGCGCGCTGGATCCCTAAGTGGCCGCGTTGGGGTCGGTTCGCCGGTGCCAGATGTCTCCCACGTTTTACAGTCCGTGCAGTCACGGATGGCGATGAACTCCGACGCCTGCCATGGCGGGCGTCGGAGTTCATGTCCGGTAGCGATCTTCCCAGCTCAGCTGCAGCGGGGGAACAGAAAAACTGTCGGCATTACGCTAAAATCGCGGCGGCCCAGCGCGTGACCGAGGCATCCATTGAAGTAGTGCGTAGCGCCGTTCAGGAATGAGCGCGTAGGGTCGGAGCCACGCTCCACCTCCGTCGTGTTTGGAACGCCACCGGCCGGTCCGGCCGTCCCGGCGGCACATGCGGGCGCGGTGATTTAACCGGGCGTCGCAGAAACATCCCGCCGTGGGCGAGGCGTCTGGTGCGCGTGACCACTGCCTGGTCAGCGGCCTCGGAGGGACCGTCCGTAAACAGCGGGCCCGGCTGGCGGGAGTGAATGACCGCGTTGTGTGATGTGTAGCGCCGGCTGAACCCTGGCCGCTCGGTGTATTGCGCTGTCCGCTTTGAGTTGTGTGCGCCGCCGGCGCGGCTGGCGGACGAACAGCTCCGTCTGCTTTAGCCCGCCCGGGTCGGTCGGGGCGCGCTGCGTTGCCGGGCAGATCACATGACCTTTGACCGACGCTGCTCGGCGGCGTCGCAGCATCTCGGTTGTCATTGTCAGCGGACAACAGAGGCGAGGCGGAATGAGCAGCGGCATCAGACTGGCCGCCGTCTGATCGATGCGTGCGTCATATCTCAATGTAATGCCACCAGGCTCTATGTAATGCCACCAGGCTCTATGTTCGTGCTCGTAATCCATACAAGATCTCTCTGGCGACGCCGGGTGGCCCTTGAAGCTCTTATATAAGGCCCCAGATAGGAATTGCACCGGTAATTCCACTGCACTGGGACCAGACGGGGGGGGGGGGGACGATACGGCGGGGGGGGGAGGGGGGGGGGGGTGCGTCATGCGCGCGACTGATTACAGCGGGGAAAACATTCGTCCACATCATGAGCCATGAACCCGCCTGGCTGTCACACATCACAGCTTATACGGATTGCTGATTATAAACAAGGTCACCTGAGTCATTGAACGGTTCATCAATTGACATGACTTGCAGCATTTTTCAATAATTTGGTAATGCTACAAAATATTCTGCCTTGGGAATTACTTCTGCCAAATTTCTATCAGTGGTTATAAGCTCTAATCGTGTCCTCTAAATTTGAAACAAATGAAGACGTACTGACGAGTTGCACTGAGCACACGGCTAATTTGCTGCATTCGCAGCAACATAATTCGTGGATTGCGAATGTCATCAGTCTGCGTCCGTCTGCCACGTATTGCTGCGGTCAGCGAGATGTCCCGTTTCATGTGTGACATATTTTTAACGTGGTCCCTGCTGAGTGTCGTAAAGCCTGTGCGACTAGGACACCAAGCTGGAAACGTACAAACGGTCCAGATCATGGCTGGAGTTACTTAGCTTGCCGATAAAAGAAAAGTTTCTGCATCACAGTCGGTGCCACACAATAACGTTTGGCTCACACCAATGCAAGTTATGGTCACCACCACAGGGAGCCTTTGAAATGCCTACTCCCTGGTCTAAACTCGCTCGCACGGTAAAATGGCAGCAAAGCTTCGCCTTTAAATTTGGGTACCGAACCACTTTGAATTGCAATGCACGGGAATGTGATTGTCGTCTGCGTACGCCGGTGTCCATCATCACTTAACCCGAAACGTCTTCGCTATATTTTCCAGAGTGCCCCTTGCATTCAAGTAGGCATTGATAAAAGGCGTTTCGATCGCCGAAGACGTTTTCGAGCGTAATTATTTCTACAGTGAGGGAGATATTGATGATGATTGGGGTTTTACGGCGCGCCGACTTCTGGGGTCATTTTCGGCCCACTGTGAGGGAGATATTGGTAGATGGTATGTTGCCTATTACCCGAACCCAATACCGAACAGCAGAGATTTTACCACGTGCGTGACTCGGCTTTAGAACCATTCCACCGTAATGCTATGCACTTCGCGGCTGTGCCGTAATGCAAGCCAAGAAAATGCGCTGTTTCCGCGCATTGAGCCCCCGTTAAAGACTGACCCGCGATAAACGTCGCACACCTGAGCCGACGTGTGCTCCGGTCCGCTTTCGGCCTGGCCGCCAGCCTTGACCCAAGCTGCCGTAGACAGGTGCGTATCGACGCATAGTATCGATCTGCGGTCCGGTGCTGCGCGGGCGGGCGGGGGGCGGGAGAGGGGGGGGGGGGGGGGCAGCCGCGCTGACACGCCACCCTGCGTCTCCCTCGCGGCCGTGTGCGAGAAACGAGCTGAGTGGCCCTTTCCCCGGCCGCCGCCGCCGGATGGGCTGACCTTTGGTCGGCTGTGCGTGCAGCGCGCGCCGCGAGGCCGGCTTCCGAGTCGGCCAGCGACCACCATCGACCCAGAAGCCATGTTTGGCCGGCCGGGCCCGGCGCGGGGACGGGAACGATGGCATCGCCGCCGGCACGGGCAGCGCCAGGCACGGCCCGGCCGCACGCACGCACCACTCCCGGCCGAGGAGTGGGGACCGAGACTTTGAATTCGTCTGATGCGCAAGCACGTTCGGCTGTCGTGGAACAACGGCTGAAGGGAGTGCGTTTGGCAGGCTTGAGCGAACTGGCGCAGGATTGGTACGCATCCACGTATCCGGACGTGGGAAACTGCGAACCTGTTGCGAAGCAAACGCGGAGGTTTACTGCGCGACAGAGAAGGCAGAGGACGAGCTGAAAGTTGGAAAGGCATTCTAGCAATATTGCGTGCAATCTTGTCAATCTAGCCGTGCAGGAAGGGGCTTGACTCTGAGACGGCCCTGACATGCCAAGATTCAGTGTGGGCGTAGGAACGTCTCAAAAGGAAGGCGTGGGGAGGTTCGTTTTTTAATTCAAACTTATTTTTGTGCCATCACGGAGCGTATATTAAACTTCCGTGTCAAGTTGGCCGGATGGTTCTGAAAAGAGCAGCAAATGTGCCATCCAATGTGTGATTACCGCCAGCGGCTGGTTGCTGGCGGTCCGTTGCCGTTGGCCTTTGTTGGCAGGTCTAGGATCGATCCCGTCCGTGGCCGGTGGACTCTAGTGGCAGACTGGACATTCGCTCCGGTCTCTGGTTGCAGTCCGTGCTTACATGACCGGTCTGCCCGCCCGATTACAGGCTGTACGTGCACCCGTCCAAGGTGCGCGCCGTGTACTCTGGTTGCAGTTCGTGCTGACATGACCGGTCTGCCCGCCCGATTACAGGCTGTACGTGCACCCGTCCAAGGTGCGCGCCGTGTACTCGGCCGCCGCCCGCCTTAAGATGGACAGGGTGGCGCGTCGCTGTGCCGAGTGGCTCGTCAGCAACCTGGACACCCAGTCATGTCTGGAGATCCGCTCCATCTCCGGCGTGGCCAGCGACTCCCAGCTGGTCAAGGTGGCCGACGACTTCATCGTGCTGCACGTGAGTGAGGCACCACGCCGCTGGGGACACGCATTACGCCCAATCAGGTCGGTGGTTGGGGGGGGGGGGGGGGGAGGAAGGAGAGGGAAGGGGTCTCGTCGATGGCTCCGGGTTTTCGCTTCTGGCCAGGGGATATGTCATCAAGCTTTTTGGAAGCGGCCCTTAGTTTGATTTGGGTACGGCACGAAGCTCAACGTATTTGGGGTTGAATTGCAGCCTCACCAATATAAGCCGGTGTGGTGTGCATTTAGTGTGGTTGGGCTTTCAGTTCGGTGGTGTTACATCCCGGGGCCCAGCGGTAGTTATTTATCAGTGGTACCGTGGCCTTTACTTGGCCGAAACTTTGGCCGAAACTTTGGCTGAAACTGTGTCCCCTGCAGCTATGCTATGGGGACACATAGCATTTTCAGCTAAGCCGAGACCGTGTCTCCGGCACCGCCTTGGTTTGCAGCTGCCTGTGAAGCCATATAGGCGCCTAAACACAACAGTGGCGGAGGCGGCGGGGAGAAGGAATCAGACAAAGTCCGTCCGCAACAGACACGTGGGCCGCGCAGGTCTTGTATGTGCGCGAACGAGCAATGGAGATTTCGAAAAGAGTGTTACTTAACGATCATTTCGCCTTCCTTAGTTATTTCGGATCGTAAACGTGGCTTCTTCTCTCTCCTCAGTTTGCTGAGATGGTGGCGACGAAGCAGATGCTGAAGCTGCCACAGGTGAAGGTGGAGCTTCTCACGCCTGCTCTGGAGGAAGTCACCTCCATCAACATGTCCACTCAGGCCTTACTCGTCCTTGACTGGTTGCGCAAGTTTACGATTGACGAGAACGTGTCTCTGGAAGATAGTACGGAAAAGGTAAGCAAACATGCAGTGTTCTCCTGGATTCTGTTTATCCTGTCCCTCCTTTTTCCCGTCTTGTGTTTTCTTTATCCCTTTACTCATCCTGCCCATCTCCCCTGCTCTTTGGTCGTTTGCGATGCTGCCCCGCCCTCCGTCCGGTCGCCCACTCCCCCTGCCGCTCTCTCGCCCCCTGCCGGGGGCTGATGGATGACGGCTTTGTTTACGCCCCTCTGCGCGCTGGCTCCAGACGGACTGGGAGAAGGGGAGGGGGAGCACGCGACCCCTTGCGGATCCGCCGCCACTTTTACAATGATTACCAGCCTTGTTGACTGCCGCGCGGGAGAATCTGGTCTCGTGACCTCAAGAGTGTGGGCGCTGACGGCTGTGGCGCCTGCCTGGCGCCCCCCCCCCCCCCCCGCCACTTGAGTGGTCGGCGGTGGGCGTGATTGCGCTGCGATGGGAGCAGGGTCACGTCATGATTGGATCATAGGTGTGACGGGAGGGGACGGGTCTGGTGCCGGCGCCACGGCCGAGTGGTGTACACGTCTCGCTCGAGCCGTGTGTATACAGACAGACGCTTCAGCCGCCTCCACGTATCGTCAAGGGAAGTGTGCGACGTTTCCGGGCGGTCGAAATGTTTACGGGAGGGGGGGCGGGGGGGGGGGGGGCAGATGAAGGGCCGCTGCGATTCATATGGTCAGTACGTGTAGATGTTGACTCACGGCTGAGGATGGATGCTATTACTGCATTGATTATTGATTCTAGGGTTCATTGCGTAACTGCAGGATGGTCGCAGCCGATGGTGCTGTAACGGGCAGCCGTAGATGGACCAGTGAAAACGTTGAAACATCCATGCCTTTGGCCCACTGGACGCGTTATAGTTAAGCATTTATACGCATTTATGCGTATTCGAAAGGGAGGAGGGCCGTCGTTCAGACAATATTGGCTAGGAACTAGAACAAAAATCGGGCTCCAAGGCTCCAAGTGCCTGCCACCGCTCTGTCATCAAACAACGATGTTTTCAGAATCGATTCCGGCAGGCGGCCTATGGATTTGTGAAAGCGGTCTGTAAGCCCTCACTCGCCATCTCATCATGCAATGGTTCTGTCGCTTCTTAAACCCCGAATGCTCTCAAATGGCTGTGTGGTGTTGTACGACTGCAAGAATATCGGGCTCATTGAATTGGCGTCAAATTTAAACTGGCAGCTAGGCCACTCAGAACTCGGGTGTCCTGCAGGCTGTACGAGGGGCTGTGAATGCTTGATATTCTCACGTATGTTTTTGCAACAAAATATTTCAAAAGGTGAGCCAAACGTATCTGATGGGAAAATTTTGAAACTCTATCAAACCCAGATATGTGTGGTTAAAAGGAAAGATGAGAACAATAAATATAATAAATGTATCAGTCACTCATTCTCAGTTTATCTTAATCCCGATGCACCACTCAAATTTACTTAGACTTTACAAGTACCCTGACTTCAGATTATGCATGGATCAGAAGACTGATAATGAAGGCATCCCGAGTGCAGGGTTTTTATGCTAACAGTTATCAACCTTTATTGTCAGCAGGGGTTGGTTAAACGACGGTGGCATGCCAACATTGGTCATATTGTCAAACCTCGACGTGTTAGGTTGTGCTGACGATCACGGGAGATGTATGACATGTGTGATCGATGACATAATTCCTGAACCTACCTATGGGCGCGTCACTGAGGGCACCAGGGCCTTAAATGTGTATTTGCGCGGAGGGTTATTTCCTTTCCTCAAACTTCTTTTAGGCTCTTCCCTTCATAGCAATGGATCGACTTCAAGCAAACGAGCTTTGTCTAACCATGTGTGGCTGAGCGCTACTAGATGCTGCTAACCATGACATAGACGTGTTTATTATTTGGAAAGTCATCGGACGACTTTGTTAAGCACCACCGTTGACATTCCTCGAACCTTCTGGGTGTTTCCTGCGCCGGGTCGGACCTAGAACCAGACTCCGTGGCTGCACGGGACATCTCCCCCCTCCCCCCTCCTGGTGGTCTGGCGACGCCAGGTACGGACGGCGGGGGAGGGAGGGGGTCGCCGGTGCCGGTGCCAGGCCACACCCGGGCTGCGCGGCACGCTGCCAGCGGCCCGGGGGGCTCGCCGCCGCCGCCGCCGCCGCAGACGGTCACATGTGTCCGTCGACCAGCGCACCTGGCATTAGCCCTTCGGCCCGGCCAGCCCGGCCGACAGGGGTCCGACCGGACCCCGTGTTGTCGCAGCGCCTACCGCCTGCACGTGGTGCGGGGTCGCGGCACTAATCGCCGCACCTCTTGGAACTTAGCAGCGCCGCGCCGTCAACAGGGTCTTTAAAACGCACAGTATTGGGGTCGGGTAGGGGGGGGGGGGGCAGCGACTTGGCAGGAAAGTGACATCCTGCTCGGCTGGGCCGGCCGGGGAGGATGCCTTTGTCGCTACCCCAGCCTCTGGTCGTCACCTGACCGCGATACCGCCGGCAGCGGGGGCGAGGGTTAGCGGGGACGGTGCCAGCTGGACCCGGAAGTGGCGCCGCCGCCGCCGCCGGGCAAGACCGCCGCGCGGCTCGGGTTCCGTTACAGCCGGGCAGCAGGGCGCGGCGGCGGCGGCGGCGGAGATGGCCGACGCGGGGTGACCGCCGGTGAGCCGCGGGCACGGACGCTGCCACCGCCGGTGTAGCGGGGGCTCGGTGCGGAGAGGCGTGCTGATACTAGAGAGGAACGAGTCCCGCACGAACTGCTGTCACACCGGCGGCAGATCAAACACAGTCTACTGGAAGAGAAGCGCATTTCTCCCGTGAACAAATCCAGGCCCGCTGTATGTGGGTAATAACATGGGGGGGGGGACCATAGGCACCAGTGGGATAAGATACGTTGCTTGCTTGTTGGACAAGAGACATTTTTGGCTGGACTTGAGGCTTTCATCGTGTGTTTGACGTGCCTGACTCCCTACAGTCGGGAACAATGAGCATCAATGACCATTATTGCGAAAGCCGACGTGCTCCATAATACCAAAACCTATAATTGACGATCCACGCTGTGGTAAGTGTAATGGAAAGGAGACACCGTGCTGCAATGGCTGGCCGCAATTGATAAATGCTTCTATTGCTGTCAGAAGTCAATTTGTCAAATGCAGCAGGCGCCGTCGGGTTTCGTTCCGCGAAGCTTGCTTCTGCCGGATGAATCACAGTGAGGGTGCCTTGTTTGCTGGCCGCGGTGTTTCGACAGAGCTCAGGGCTATCCCATTCCTACTGCAGCGCAGCAAGGCCTCGGGTCTGTCTCTCTGGCCATCTGCGTCGTACCGTATCTCGGTCATCGCCGGTAGCTCTAGATTTGTTGCCGTAAACGAATCATTGCGAGTAACAGAACTTGGAACGGTGGTAAACATTTAGTTTGGGTTATAAAGCTGTGACACAGGGAAGGCTGTGGTAAAGTAGCACTGATAAGACAGTAGTAAAACCTCATTCTTCAGAGAAAAACCAGGAGAATGGAGAGAGGCTGATATTGTGGCAACCTGCCTTTATCGAAACAATACCAGAAGAAGGCAGTTCGTGGACCGTGATGAGAGTGGAGATTTACATTGGTTGATATTTCGGCAACATGTCATTATCGAACCGATGGCAGAAGATTGTTGGTGGGCCGCAGGTTATTATATATTTATATCATCATTACATATCGTTATATTGAAAAAATACCAGCGTTTGAAAAAGGCACGACCTAAAATAATCGCCACGTAGACTTAACTAAGATGCAGTATTGCCATCACACTTTAATCGCTGTTTGAAACAGTCATGCCCATATGATTTGCATTGTGTTTTATTCATCGGTTTTAAACATCTAAAAGCGCATGTCGTTTTCCTTGCTACCACCACCATCACTAGGGCATGCTAACCTCCTATTGCTAGCATGCCCTCTCAATGTATAGTTGGGATTGGTGGCGCCTGAGCTAAAAGCGCAGGTCGTTTTCCTTGCTACCACCGCCATCACTAGAGCATGCTAACCTCCTTGTACTAGCATGCCCTCTCAATGTATAGCTGGGATTGGTGGCCCCTGAGCTGATTGCCGACCGCTTTTGTTGCAGGTGCACCTGTTGTACATGAACTTGGACCAGTCGCTGCATGATTGCTCCGACATCGTTACCGGTGACTCGGCCGACACCGAAATGGTGCAGGACTACAAGAAGCTCAGCAGAAAGGTGATTATTCCAGCCGGTTTGACGTAATGACAACCAGTGCTGACATACGCACGCGACAATATTCGTCTCGAGATGCCTTCTTCAACCTCAATCGACACGTGGTTTCGTCACAGTTCCCGTCAGCCGATGTCTGTCGCCTCAGCGGCATCACATGTCGGGGTGTCGGCATCCTTGTCCGTATGACCGGACGCCGGTGAGCTCTGACGTCACGGTGGCCTGAGCCGGCGCCTGACGGACGGCTGCGAGCGGCCGTGGTGACCTGACATGGCCTATCCTGACCTGACCTGATCTGACCTCACCTGATCTGACATGCGCTGCCCGTCTCGGCAGGTTGGGCGGAAGACGTCGCCGGCCGTGCAACAGCCCGTGCCGTCCTCCAAGCAGTACCACACCATCACCTACTCGACCGAGGTGGCTGAGCGCATGCAAGAGGAGGCCTACGACTGGAAGACCATCGCCTGCTCCAAGGTCGACGGTGAGTGCCAGCTTTGACTCTCACATTCCGATGAAATGAGTTGGCGCAACACTGTCCCATTCTTTAGAGGTGCATGAGTGGAAAAATGCCCACTGTTTGTTTCCCTTCTGAAGGTATGACCGGTTCTAGCATCATCTCCGCAGGCGGAACAAAGTTCACATGCACATTGTCTTATTATTCGATGCCCTTCCAGGCCCATCCGTGCTGTCCCCACGGACGGGAGGGAGGGAGGGGGGGGGGGGGGCAGGGTAGCTCCACCCTGAGGACATGTTATTCATGCTTGTCTTCACGCTCGGCCCGGCTCCAGTATGCTCTGTCTTCTTCCCACTGAGCATGGTCCGCTGGACGGGCGTCCGCTCTCTCGCTTTCGTTGACTCCCGCCGATCCCAGCGCCGGCTGACTTTGTCCCGCCTCCTCAGAGCGGGGCATGGTGGCGCTGGTGACGCTGGGCGGCCGCCTGGCGGTGCTGTCGGTACGCCAGCGACTGAACGCGCCCTCGCCGACCGGTTCGCCGCGCACCAGCCGGCCGCCCAGCATGGAGAAGCCCGACTCGTACAGCGTGCTGCCCGAGCTGGCCTGCGCCAAGTGCGCCATCGGCGTCGGCAACATCGACGACAAGCTCATCATCTGCGGTGCGTTGTGCTCCTCGGCGGCCTCGGTGACTCTGTACTGGGTTCCGGGCTGGTCTGGGCTCTTCGGGCGCACGGAAAGCCAAACTTGTGAGCCGTCTTGTGATTAAGCGCTGATTATTCATGACGTTTGTTGATGTTGTTGGTGTGTGCTTGCGGTTTCGCACTCTGTTCAATGCGTTGTTATGAATTGTAGTAACTCCCTAGCATTAAAGCAGCTCACCAATTAGAGGACGCCAGTGAAGCCGGTGGTGGTAGACCACGTGGGGAGAGCCTATCCGAGCGTCATCGTCAACACCGCTGCCCTCAGGCGGGTACGACCGCGGCGAATGCCTGCGGGAGGTGGAGATCTACGACCCGGCCATCAACCAGATCCGCGCCCTGCCTCCGATGCGGGCGGCGCGCGGCCGCTTCGATCTGACCGTGATCGACGGCCGAGTGTACGCCGTCGGCGGCTGCGACGGCAACAACGAGCTGTCGTCGGTCGAGTCGTTCTGCCTCGAGGACGACAAGTGGACGCCTCGCGCGCACCTGCACATGGCGCGGTCTAACCTAGGTACTTTTAGTTCCGTGCCCGGCCGACAGGTGTCCCGCCCTCCAGCACAACTCGATCTCTCGCTTATTCCAGATATGGGCGACCGTTCTGCCCTGGCGGCTGTACGCTGGCTGCGGCTCAGAAAGCGCACGTAATGGTCAGTGGCGTCAGACTTGTCTCACGAGTATGTCAGGATGCTGACGAGCCCAGAACTCTAGCGAGGTAAAGCCCTTCCGGTTTCGCGGTAGTGATGGTCGTAGTGGATGCTGTTTGAGTTCACAGACCTGAGTGCTCAGTGCGCGAATGTGTGCCGCTCTGACAGCTCCTGTCCTCATGATACCCGCTCTGGTAGAGAGCACAGCACTCATGTGTGGCCTCCTTCCACTACACGATACTAAAGCGGTCTTTTCCATTCACTTTTTCAGGTGTGGTGAGTGAAGTCGCGGTCGCCCTAGCCAGCTGACGTCGCCGACTGTTGACAGTATTTTCAGATGCCACGGTCAGCTGACTTTTAGCTAGCTGGTTGGCGTCACCGCTCGGTCCGCCACTGCGCGCGGTTGACAGGGGCAGTGGGGTGGCGCACTCTCGGCTTCTAACCGCGCGCTGTCAGGCGGGACATGTCACGGGCCTCGCTCCCGCAGTGGAGGTGCGCCGCAGCACCGCGGTCCGAGGGCGTGGCGTTAACCAGCCAGCTAGATACGTCACTCGTATCTGTATCTGACCAAATTCAAAATTAATTCTCCCTTCCGTTTACGAAGGTGAGTTCGAGACTTCTTTTGATTTACCGTTCTTGACGGCAGGAGTGTTCAGCTATTTTTACAGAGCCTTTTACTCTTTCGTTGACTAATTTGCCCTCGGCATTGATCAGATGTCTGCTCCAATCCCTCTTCCTGCAGCAACTGCCCCGCTTCTTTTTATCGTTGAGTCAGAGGGCGGAAGAGAACGTGTGCCCTTCGTTCATTATACGCAACCATTGACCTGGCGTCTGTGACGGAGGCTGATTGGAGCACTCATCCGACCTCTGCACCCTAGTCGTAAGGCTGTTGCCATGATAGCTATTTATGAGTGTGCTGCCCTTAGATGGTTTTGTCAATTAGTTTAGCTTTGCCGGTCAACTTGGCTCGATGCGTTGTTGGCTCTCCGGAATCTTTTTCAGAGTTTCTTCCTTGTTTCAGTATGGTAAGGTTTTCCGCGTTTTAGCTAAGACAATAGCATCGTATCGCTTGCCTGTGCACTTGAAAGCCTGTGCTGGCTTTTGCTAAATGCCCTTCAACTTAACGAGTGCATCTTACTCCGCGTACGCACTAACGTAAGCAGACCAAAGCAAGAGTAAGCTAAGTTTGTTAACTGTCGTGTGATATAGCTTGTTTCCATGTATTGCAATATTGTTTGAAGCATAAAAATATTTGACCAAAATGCTTGTAAGATTTGTTAATTGAATCTTGTATTTGCAACTCGTGCATTGTTAGTGTATTTTGCTACAATGCTATTTTGTCCTTAGGCCATTGTTTAGGTGCTCTTGTCAGGTAAACGGTTGTCGTTTATGGTATCGTCGTGTTCCCGCCGTGTTTATTTGGGGATTGGTGTTTGTATGGATGACAAACTCTAGTTAAATGCGCAACAGTTTGTAAAGTTGCTTGCTACTGGGCTCTTCAGCGACCAGCTCTTTGTGTTTTAGCAGGATCATTACGTGCGCTTGGTTTGGTGGTCAAAATGTGGCGACCAATGCCAGCACTCTCTCCAAAACGCCATCATTATGGTATCTGTTGAAATCTATTGCCTTAAAGCCGACGTTATTCAGACATAAAAAGCTCCCGCTAAGCCTACATTTTGACCATCACTTCTCGACCGTTGGTGTTTTATCCACAGATAAAACATTCATGATATTTCAGGTGCTGCATTCCCCGGCCAGTGTATTTCCTTGGCAAAATATGTGGTCGGCCGCGTGTTCTGAAGTCTCAACCGTTTGTCGCCAGGGGTGTGTGCGCTGAACGGCAAGATCTGCTGCATTGGAGGCTGGAATGGCAAGTTCGGCAGTAGAAAGTGCGAGATCTATGACCCTGTTACCAACAAGTGGTCCCAAATGGCTTCACTCAACGTCGGTAAGTTCATATTCAGCTGTCTACGTGTTCTTGCTTTTAGCTCGAGATGTTAATATCATTGGATGCTTTGTTTCCCCATTGGTTGTTTTGATTTGAGACCAGGATGAGGGGAAGGAAATTTACAGCACATCTATGCTTCTTATGAAATGTTCAAAATTCATCGATCCCTAACTGACATTAGTCGTTCCAACGACGATCCCCAGCGGTCACTGTTTACCGTGACCTGCGCCGATGCTGCGCTCCACCGGTCATCCGACGTGTACGGGTACCGCTCCTTGACGCGCCGGAGGTGTGGCAGGGCGGCACGAGGCGGCCGTGACTGTACCGAACGGGCTGGTGCTGAACGGGTGATGATGGGTGGGTGCCGCTCCCTGACGCGCCAGAGGTGTGGCAGGGCGACACGAGGCGGCCATGACTGTACTGAACGGGCTGGTGCTGAACGGGTGGTGATGGGTGGGTGCCGCTCCCTGACGCGCCAGAGGTGTGGCAGGGCGGCACGTGGCGGCCGTGACCTTGCTGAACGGGCTGGTGTACGGGTACCGCTCCCTGACGCGCCAGAGGTGTGGTAGGGCGACACGAGGCGGCCGTGACCTTGCTGAACGGGCTGGTGTGCGGGCGCCGCTCCCTGACGCGCCAGAGGTGTGGCAGGGCGGCACGAGGCGGCCGTGACCTTGCTGAACGGGCTGGTGTATGGGTGCCGCTCCCTGACGCGCCGGAGGTGTGGCAGGGCGATACCAGGCGGCCGTGACCGTGCTGAACGGGCTGGTGTATGCCGTCGGCGGCTGCGACTCCTGGAACTGCCTCAGCTCGGTCGAGGTGTACGACCCGGAGGAGGACGCATGGTCCTTCGTCGCGCCCATGTCGACGCCGCGTCGCGGCAGCGGAGTGTCCAGGATCAAAGGTACGCTGACTACAGACGGCGGGCGCCAGTCGAGGCTCGCCGACTGGTCCGCGTTACTTCTTAGTGATCTGCTGCTGTAAAGATGCGTGTACGAACTCGCCGTGTGGCAGGAGGATAGCTGCAATGTCTTCTTAAGCCCGAGTTATTCTGTCGGTGTAGCTATGAGCATAAAGGCACCAAGGCCGTCCTGTTATCGTGCAGTGATATTGAACTTGGATAAGTATTGGGTTCTAAACGTGCGCTGTGGGTCGTAAAACCTAACCATGTTCTATAAAAACAAAAATATTTTGTAAGCTCCTTGTCACCGCTAGCAGCCACAGCTACATTTCGTTCAGCTCGGGCCCAGTTGCGTAGGGTATTTCGTCTGGCAACGACTCTCGTCGGTGGTGACCTCGATGACATTAATTGGTCTTGCAGAGCCCCATATGCTGTCGCGCGCCCTCGAACGCTTTGTCCCAGCCTTACGTGACCTGAACGGTCAGTCTACAAGACAACCGGTCACATCTTTCCACACCACGTCCACAGGTCATCTGTTAAAGTTCAGGAGCATGAAGGAGGCCTTAGCCCCAAACAGGTGGGAGTCTCACCGGTGGTGGCGCGTCCTCAGGTAAACTGATTGTGGTGGGCGGCTTGGACGGCGTGCAGTCGCTAAACACCACTGAAATCTACGACCCGACCGAGGGCACCTGGACGCCCGGGCCCAAGATGCTCTCGCGGCGGGCCAATGTCAACGTGGCCGTGGTGGACGGCAAGCTGTTCGCTGTCGGCGGCTTCTCCGGTGAGCAGTGGGCACTGACGGGAGTATTTAGCAGGCAGGGCCAGTGTCGTTGGTGATGTGCCGTTGTGCGATCCGGTGGGAGGAGCGTGCCGTGAAAGAACCGGGCCAGGGCTGCCACTGCCGGTGATTGTTGGCTCCTGGCTCGGAAATCATTGTCGCCGAGTTTTAACCATTTCCATTATACCGTCAAATTCGGATGTCGAAACAAGAGATTACATTTGGTCCAGTAGTCTTCTTTCGACATTTGCCCTGTTAGGTGGTCAGCCGCCTGTCACGCCACAGGTGAGTGTGGGTGCTCTGTCCTCCCGTCAGGTCAGTGTTCTGGACGTGCTGCAGCCACCTGTTTCCGTGTCTGACTGATCCTCTCCGCCGCGCAGGAAAGCAGTTTCTGAACACAATGGAGTTTCTGGACGCGCGCACCATGAACTGGACGACGTTCATCGCGCGTCGGGCGCGCGGCCTGTCCGGTGGCAGTGCTTCCTCTGAGGAGGAGTGCCCCGAGGCGGTGACGGCCGGTGGCGGTGACCCGGCCCACGCCGCCTCTGATGGCGTGTCTGGCGCCTCGGAGTCCACTGGCGTGTCTGGCGCCTCGGAGTCCAGTGGCGCCTCGGGTGCCTCGGAGTCCAGTGAAGCGGCCGACAGCGAGACGGACGAGCAGCGGTCGGGTGACGCCGGCGCTACCGACGGCACTTGCGCGTAGTGCCACCGCCAACAGATGGCAGCACGAAAGAGACGCCGCGGACGAGTTCATTCCATCGCGAGTACTGAAAGGCTTGTGACAATATCGCAGCTGCTGCTGGCAGCACGCAGCTTCTGACCCCGCTCCTGGCGGCTGCTGCCGGCTCTGACCGAACCGCGCGCAGCGCACGCGAATTTGGCGTGCAGGGCCACCTAACATCGATGTGGAAAGCGTGGGTCACGTTGTTCGGTTTCCCTTTGGCCCAGTACATTCAGCATGGGGACTAGGGGAGCAGCTGTCGACTGCTGGATGGCGACAGTCTCTTGTACAGTGTAATGTCGCCCTGTTTTAATGGCGTCTGTTTACAACTTATTGTGCGAACCACGCTCGCAGTAATTAATTACCAAACTTTGTGACCGCTGTGAGCAATCTGAACCCTTTTGTGCCCACATCCTGGCTTCCGCTGTGCCCAATCTTCTCTGAGATGCCGACTGTTGACGGTCCTTTGGGTGCCACGCACCCTCGTGTATTTATGTCCGCCCAGCGCATTGGGGCCAATGTTTGTGTACGTACCGTCATTTGCACGACCTTCGCTACAACGCACGTTCTGCCTCCGGTACCAAAATTTCCACAGCGAGGTGTACTGGTGGTGAATGGAAACTGTCATTTACGGGCGGGCTGCGAGTGAACGCTTCGGAAATGCCATCTTTCTGCGCCTGCGGGCGATTTACAAGAGGCTCGGCTCTATTGGACCTGCGGGATATTTTGATGCTCGGCCGGTGTGTGGTGTCGCGTGCTGCGGTCACCACAGGTCACCAGGGGTCACCGGTGACTACTTCGGAGATGCTTTGACGCCGTTGTGTGCGCGTGTGCTGGTGGCTGCCGCACTGGACTGGACTGCGGACACGTGAACCCGATAACCCTGTCAATACATGCGGCTGAGAAGCAGCAATGTTCGGCACGGCTTGGTACTCTCCCGAGCCCGGTGTTTTTCGTTCTGCATCCCATACACTATGCGATGGGCGCCCAATGACCCCTGCAGTCGACGCGGCCGAAAGCTGTAATAACCAATCAACACGTAACGCGAGTAGTCGTGAACGGCGCTGTTCGGTTTTATCCAGTAAGCTGGTTGCTGAAAGGAATGAACCGGAGACATGCCTGGAATAGATCCGTCACCCCGATGGGTCGAAAAGTCCGGCGCGCCCATGGATTTTGAGGGAAATCCACTGGAGGAAAACAACCCTGAACAACTACCATGCAAGATTCTTATCCCGGCCCATCCATGGCTGAAGAACAGTCTCACAACTGAGGTGCTCTCGCGGTAGTAGTCATTCCACAGTTACTTTAAAGTTTCCAGGCCAGTGATCTAGTGTGATGAATGTGGCCCGTTAGTATGGATATTTCCACAGTGTCTGCAGAAAAGAAGTAGAGGACAGCGCCGCCAAACATGGTGTCCTCGGGGGGGGGGGGGGGGGAGTGGTCAGTTGATGTGATTGTTCGTTGACGAGTGCTCTGGTTCCAAATGCAGGCCGTTGCAATGCATTAGACGTGCGCGGGGTAACCAAAATGCCATTTTAGCTATAAACCATAATGTGCAAGAAGTCATGATCTGCGACGCCGCAGAACTAGCCCAGTCAAGAGACTGCCGAATCTGCGAGGGGTCTGTGAGCTACGCATGGGCACTGGTGGTCTGTGCATAGCCTCGTGGCATAATAGGTGTGGTCCTGGACGGATTGTTAGTCCCAGTTTTCTTCGACAAAAAGGTTGCAGTGCTGTGGAAAGGCACCAGTCCTGAGGTAGCGTCATGCTGCACACTTAGCTTCTGCCAGTCAGGGCTCCTGTTGGCAGGTATAGTGCTATGATGGTGCGGGCTACCATGTAGACCTAACAAAGGCAAGGATAGTGCTGATATAGTGCTGATAGCCCTTGGTTCCTCTCCACAACATGCAACGTTTTTGTCAAATACGTCCTGTAGTTAAAACGCCCTGGAGAACGTTGGAATCTTTCCGATATAGTAGCAATGCAAAATGTGCTTTTATCTCGGGGGCGCTATGCAGTTCGGGCGGCATATGTTCAGATCTCCTGTGACGATTGAAGGACCTAAATGAGGTGTCCCGGCTTTCCTTCATCATACATACGCACAGCGTACGCTCCCCGCCCACTTCGCTAGCTACCGGAGGGAAGGCGTGATATTCAGCGGTTAATGGTGCCGGGCGTGATACTTCAGCGGTTAACGTCGCCGGTTGTGATACTTCACCCGTTAACGGCGCTGGGCGTGATACTTCAGCGGCTAACGCCGCCGGGCGTGATACTTCACCTATTAACGGCGCCGGGCGTGGTTAACGGCGCCGGGCGTGATACTCCAGCGGTTAACGCCACCGGGCGTGATACTTCACCCGTTAACGGCGCCGGGCGTGGTACTCCAGGGGTTAACGCCTCCGGGCGTGATACTTCACCCGTTAATGGCGCCGGGCGTGATACTTCACCCGTTAACGGCGCCGGGCGTGGTACTCCAGGGGTTAACGCCTCCGGGCGTAATACTTCACCCGTTAATGGCGCCGGGCGTGATACTTCAACGGTTAACGGCGCCGGGCGTGATACTTCAGCGGTTAACGCCGCCGGGTTGGCCATGGGGACCCAGGATCTTTTCCACATGGATTGGGTCTACGCCCTTTGTCATCATATGAATATGGTAGCGTCAGCTCTCCGTAAAGAAGGACACGACGCGTTGGTCATCTTAAGTCTGGACCGCCATGATTCCCTCACCGTGAATGGGCTCAGGCCCGTTGCGAACGGCTGCGAGCCAACCTCATGAGCCGATTCACGGCAAGCAACAGACCCCACCCAGAACACACATCAGGGGCAACAGATCGCAGCGTCCTCACAATTTTCATGGAGCGTTGGCAGCTGAGCACGGCCTCAGCCAGCTTGAGCTCGCTAGGCACGGTCCCTCTGCCGCTCCCCCACCCGAGAGCCGGCTGGGCCGGGGCTGCCTGCACGGTCCCTCTGCCGCTCCCCCGCCCGAGAGTCGGCTGGGCCGGGGCTGCCTGCACGGTCCCTCTGCCGCCCCCCCGCCCGAGAGTCGGCTGGGCTGGGGCTGCCTGCACGGTCCCTCTGCCGCTCCCCCGCCCGAGAGTCGGCTGGGCCGGGGCTGCCTGCACGGTCCCTCTGCCGTCCCCCCCCGCCCGAGAGTCGGCTGGGCTGGGGCTGCCTGCACGGTCCCTCTGCCGCTCCCCTCGGGAGAGTCGGCTGGGCCGGGGCTGCCTGCATGGTTCCTCTGCCGCTCCCCTCGGGAGAGTCGGCTGGGCCGGGGCTGCCTGCACGGTCCCTCTGCCGCTCCCCTCGGGAGAGTCGGCTGGGCCGGGGCTGCCTGCATGGTTCCTCTGCCGCTCCTCCTCACGAGGGCTGGATGGCATGAGCCGCCCCCACCCTGCCCACTGCTGGGATCGTTCTGGCGGAACAAGGGCCTATCTCATCTGCTCAGCCATACTGCAAGCTGCCAAAATTTATGCCGTGACGTAATTGTTTATTTATTCACCCTCGGTGCCAGTACGAGACCATCGGCGGCCAGCGAAAAAACATCTCGCCATGCGCAGAGGCGAGTTCAACCCATAGGGAAATGAAAATGCACGCACATGGAGCCCCACGCCTGTCCAGTCTTACCTCCAAATGCCTGCGCTATGCCCCTCACACTCTGCCGTGCGCAGAAGCCGACGCAGCCGCTCGAGAGTGCTGGGGTCGCCCGTGCGCGAGCGTGCCGTTCGGCGCGCGGCGCGGAGCTGCCTCAGACCCCGCTGCGCCCCGCTGGCGTGAGGAGGGTAGGGCGGGCTGTAGGCGACCGAGGCGGCGCACCGCCGGCCGAGCGATGGCCAGCCGGCTTCTCCTGGCTTTGACGAGCCTGCTCGGGGCCGCCGGCGCACTGCCGGGCCAGATCAAAATCGGTGAGTCGTCAGGTGAGGATGTTAAGTTGAGGCAAGGTTACGGGCTTGTTTTGCGATGATGTCGAGCATGCGAGTGATGCGTTACTCCATTGCAGTTGCTTTCAAAGCAGCATTTGGGGTTTCTGGTGTACCCGCTAGAAGGGCTGGCACGTGCAGCAAATGCACCGATCGAAAACCCAACCAAATAAAAGAGTCTTTCGGAATCTTTATGCGGTTTTCGTGATTGGAATGTTTGGCGCTCTCCATCCTTGTTACATTTCCATTTGTGTCATGAAGAGAGCCGTCAGGCACCTTGCGTAGCATGCAAGGAAAGATGCGATGCAGTTTGAGAAGCATGGCGTTGCGAACTGTAAAGCATCCAAGTCAGTCCAAACGTAGCAACAAATTTTGCCATTTGTCCTATATTCAAAAGGATCTAGGATTGCCAAAGCGAAAGCTTTTTGATGCTGTTCACCCAGAGAGGACATTAGTTTCTTATCCTAAAGGGCGGATTTTTAATTCTACAAACCCTAAACACCAAAAAAGTCCATCTTTTCGGCTTTGCCTTCAGTTATAACGCTATGGATTAAACGGTTACCCTAATAAGAGTGCATCAGTATACGTCTCACATAAAGCCTGTATTAAATCCAAGCCTTTGCGGACTAACTGCATTGTAGGTAAGATCTTCTCGATAAAAGAAAGGCATGTGATAAATCAGGCAGCTACGCCGTAATTAACCCCTCATATCCCAGGGCTAAGGAATAATTACTCTTAAAACCACGCATCTTGCCCACCTAAATTACACCGTGATTATGGAACGAAGTGATTGTGAACTGAAGTGAAGTGAAGCGAACGAAGTGATTGTGAACTGAAGTGAAGTGAAGCGAACGAAGCGAACTCTCCGATGTTTCCAAGATAGGTCTTTTCTTTTATTATTTAGATGCCTCAGTGTTACTGTTATGTTGACTGTCAGTTGATTGAAGGCCTTGGGTTCAGATACCCCATTTTTACCTACATGCGTGGGAAGCTGCTAAATTGCCATCGCCTGATTTGTATGAAATAGCTCTTTTTGCCAGCCGTCTCCCCTTAACGGTATGGTAAGTCTACAAAATGATAGCTTTAACATGGGCGCTGTGGAATGCCAGCATGCAGTAACAGTGGGCAATGGCATTACGGTACCGCGTTAGGCCTTAGCGTTGCGCCCTGTAAGTCGAAGCGAAAGGTACGAATAGGGTAATATTGACGCTGGTCCGCGTTCATTGGAGTTGAAAAACCTTGTTTGATTGTCATTGTTTTCCTCCTGCTATCAGACCAGCTGGACGACCAGTCGGACGATCGCGGCCAGCTGAACAAGCAGTCTGACAATCGCGATCCGTTCAGTCCTTTTGTAGCGTATTCCAAATCCTTTAAACGCTCTGGAAACTCATGATTTCCTCTGACCATCCATTTCACACAAACTGGCTTAATTTGAGTTTCCTACGTCGCCCAAGGAAGGCTCCAAGCCGGGGAAGAATAAATAACAAATGACGGCATGTTCAGGACGCTGGTGTTGTTACGGGGCATCATTTAGCTCGGGCCGCCGCTTGACTGAGGTGAGTTGCATCACGGTGCTTTACATCCCGACCGAGCAGCCTGCAGGTGATAACGTGAGCTGCTAAGGCTGGACCTCGGAGCAACTTGGGAAATACTCTGGATGCGTATGTGCACTCATTAGCCACGGCTTATGAAAAGAGTACATAGTTTTACTGCTAGAAATAGTAAAACTCAGCATGCAATTATTGAATAAATGCAGACAATGCATATTGTGTACATAAATCGCAAACTTGTTATGTGGAGGCGGCGGCAGTCGGTTAGAATGAAGGGGATGGGAGAAATCTATAAGGTACATTTATTTTGGGCTAAGCCATCGCACAACCTGATCGCAGTTTTTTATCTTCTTTTCCTGCACGCAGCGTGCTGCTCATCAGTGATATTGCTTTTTAGGCATGCATGAACAATGACGAGGGCGGTGTGAGGTGAACTGGAGGGAGGCGACCATTTT